ACATTACATAATGTACATGACTTATAATCTATACCTTATACGCAACAGAATTGTGTGAATATCCCTTCATCAGCTTTTGACTGAAATTTCGAAAGGTTATCCTTAAGATTCATAATAAAGCACCTGCAACCAAAAACATGGAAAAGTTTGACATTTGGTTTCTTATTGTTAATGATTTCATATGGGGTGATGTTAAAACGACGATGAATAAAAGATCTATTTTGAGTAAAGCAAGCCGTCAAAACTGCCTCAGCGGAGAGATATTGTGGAAGATTCGCATATGTAAGCATGGTCCTTGCTGCTTCGCATAGTGACCAGTTCCTTCTTTCAACAACACCATTTTGTTGAGGTGTGTGAGGAGATGAAAAATTATGCAAAATACCATGATCAACTAAGAACGAATCAAGAACATTGTTCTTGAACTCTAAGCCATTATTACTCTTGATCTTACGAACCTTCTTCCTCAAACTCAGTTCAATATGCTTGATGAAATCAATAATTACTTGAGCTGTTTCAGACTTCAATAGAAGAAAGTACACCCAAGTAAACCTTGAAAAATCATCAACAATGACCAATATGTACCTCTTCTTGTTGAGTGTTTCAACTGTCGAATGTCCACATAAATCAATGTGAAGAAGTTCCAAAGGTTCAATGATCTTTGAATCTATAACAATTGGATGACCTTGTCTATGTTGCTTCCCTTGTTCGCAAGCTGCACATAAAGAATCATTATAAAGTTCGAAAACGTAGTGTCCGTCGATCTTGCAGATTTGACACTGTGGACGCGCATAATGATCGGGACAGTCGACAACGTAGTGTCCGTTGATCTTGCAGATTTGACACTGTGGAGTATAAGGGCGACGACTGTTTCTACAAACTTGAAAAGAGTTGTGGTGAGATCCACAAGTAGTTGATAAACAAGAACCACGAGAAGAAAAATAATCTAGTAGGATATCGACCACCACACTGATTGTTTTGGGAACTAGAGCCACGCGGAACCACGAATAAAATGGATGCGGGTTGAGGATCTTCCAAGGACTTATGAAAGAGAGAGTAGCTTTATGCTTCAGAGATCACATCTCGAAGAAATGGTGGGGGAACAAGGCGCATCTAGGACAAAGAGAATGTTGAGAATGTTGGTTCAACCCCTACAACCTCAGATAAGAAATAAAGAAAACAGGTGTTCCCTGTTGTTGTTGCTGCACACGAAAAGAAAAGAAGAGGAAACAGATTTCTATGTATTCAAAAGCTACTACATAAATCTGAAAGCAAAAGGGCTATAAATATCCTACAATGGACTCAACGAAAATAAACAAAGTTAAACTAAAAGCTAGCTACTACCCCATAAGACTAGGACACTGCAAAGACCAAGTAAACCACGTTTTCTCTGCTGTGAACTTGGTCAAACAATATTTATTCAAACATTAAATCAAAACAAACCAATGACTAACCTTTTACCCATACCCATAACCCAAAGTGACCCACCCATGTCAAGATTACCCAACACTCACCCCCTTAATCTTTACATGAATATGATTCTTCAAAGTAGTGTTGTAGGCTCATCATCATCTTGAATCAAATTAACTTCTTCTTCTTTTATTTCTTTCTTAGGACTCTCAGCTTCATAATGTCCATATTCTTGATAATTATAGCATTTAATATGTCGCTTATCTCGATAAGTACCTTGTTCCCGATCTTCATAGCTTTGGAACCGGCCATCTCAACCTTTACCACGACAGCTTCCTTACCCCAGCCTCTTCCTTGTCCATATTAATCTTGATTGAAGATACCAAGCTTGGTTCTCTCTTCCCATTCCTCTTTTGATAGTAAAAGCTTGTTTTGATTTTGATCATTCTCATCTTCATCAAGAACCTTGATTCTCTCTTCATATTCCTTGAACCTCCCTACAGCTTCCTCAAGTGACATGTTCTCTATCTCCGAGTATTGCTCGATAGATGCAACAATCTGTAAAATTTCTTATTCGAATTTAGTAGTTTTCTTACCACTATCTCATCCTCCAAGCTAGACCCGACACTCTTGAATTTGGATGCAATCTCCCTAAGTTTCCCCGAAAACTCATCATTTGTGTCACCCTCTTTCATCTTCAACATCTCTAGCTCGGTTCTATGTGTTTGAAGTCTCGCCTTTTGAACTCTTTCGGCTCCCAAATACCGCACACGAAGCGCTTCCCATACGTCTTTTGCATCTTTATGCTTAGCCACTTGAAGCAATATATCTTCAGGTAGAGTTTGAAACATAAATGCTCTTGCCATTAGATTTTTCTTTGCCTCAATCGCTCTTCCCGTTTTTGGATTAACCACTTCCCATAAACCGTATGCTTGTATGATCCACTCAACTATAATCAACCAACTTGTATAATTTGTAGCTGTAAACTTGGGGCATTGCAGCGGGATACTTTGACTGGTCATGGGTACAACCTTATTTGATCCTCTCGGGTTTGTTGATGTCATGTCTCTAACTTGATCCTTTCTTCTGGTGAGATGCTAACCACAACAGACCACACATAAAATTCACCTTTTCTGACTTTCTTTCTCACTTTGATTAGCTTCTAATCACACATATTTTTTTTTTTCTTCTCACATTGATTTGCTTCTCCATAAAGATTAACTTCACCACATAGGTTGCTTGTATTCATGGTTCACCCAGAACTTTGATTCAGCACACAGCCTTTCCCTCAACTCACACAGATCAGTCTTTAAGCTCTATCACATAGATTCTTAGTTTTTAACTCGGCTCACACAGAACTGCAACAGGTTTACTTAGAACCGCTTCCAAAGATCCCATGATTTGAGCCTAGGGCTCTGAAACCAAATGTTGGTTCAACCCCTACAACTATAAATAAGGAAGAAAGAAAACAGGTGTTCCCTATTGTTGTTGTTGCACACGAAAAGTAAAGAAGAGGAAACAAATGTCTGTGTATTCAAAAGCTACTACATAAATCAAGCAAAAGGGCTATAAATAGCCTACAATGGACTTAACTGAAATAAACAAAGTTAAACTAAAAGCTAGCTACTACCCCATAAGAGCTAGCTACTACCCCATAAGACTAGGACACTGTAAACACCAAGTAAACTATGTTTTCTCTACTGTGAACTTGGTCAAACAATATTTATTCAAACATTAAATCAAAACAAACCAATGACTAAACCTTTTACCCATACCCATAACTCAAAGTGACCCACCCATGTCAAGATTACCAAATAGAGAATAACGAGCTAATTAGACTGCGACATTACCAATGTTACTTGTTGGTCTCAGAAACGGGAGCAGAATAGCACCAGGCTGATCACAGTAGGAGCGAAACTTGGTACTGTAAACAGTGACAGAATCGTTACCTCTGCGCAAGTGTTGCAACTCATCATTGAATTGAATTTCCGGTGTTTTGGAACGAATAAATAAGCCTTTTGTAAGGCTGTCCTGTTGGTGATTTTATCACCAAATATATTATAGTGTAATGGATTTAACAAGTGTTTCAAGAATAATATTTTAGTTATAATACAAGTTAGGAGGTGCGGGAGTGCACACTTGTATTTACTAAATATTGTTAGTACCGAACCCTAATATTGTTAGTACCGAACCCTAATCTAATTTGTCATTCTTGAAAGACATTACAAGGTCTAATTTGTAATTCCTAAAAGATGGAAACTGTTGTGACTTATTCGTTGATTGGATAAGTCTGTAAAAACGGCTATTGAAACACATAAAAACAGAGAACGTTTTTTCACTTCATCTTCTTCAATTGATTCTGATGTTTGTGCCTAAAATCGGAATTGCTGCATCAGGAATTATCTCAAGTTTGGATTTCGTGATACCCAATGCATATAGGGTCGAAATATCAAACAAGGAAAGTGTTTACACGATTCCTGTTTGTTATCCAGATTTCCCAGAACCCTATTTTCGAATTCCCCTACATGTCCAAACTGTAGCAGCACTTGTGCACCCTAATGTTTCAACCATGTATTCTTGTGTCAAGGAAGAAACGAAGAGGCAGTGCAAACGTTGATCCTGAGGAAGCTAGTCCTTGTTGGCTTTTTGAATGGTGGCATCAGTATAGGCTGATGTGGCATGAGAATAGAACCATGAAGATATCCAAATAAATATTGAGAAGTGAGAAGAGTCTCCACTTGATTACGCCATAGAAGATAGTTAGCTAATGTGATTTTGATTGTGAGCATATGAATGAGAGTGACATTGGGTAGCGAGAAATCTGAATTTTCCATGGGAAGCGATGGACGGCAGAAAAAAAACTCACGTTTTAAGGTTATGAGAGATACGTGAGGGATAAACCTTCTCACACTATGTAATCAAGAGAATATCACCCTTACCTAGGGGATGGACTATTATTTATATTATATATATGAAAGAGTACAACAAAATAATATATGTAGGAAAGAGTACAACAAAATTAGGAAAGAATACAACAGAATAAAGTACTTAATTTGTGCTTTAATATCGGCTAACAAACTATACAAATTAGAGGCTTAATCATCGTCTAGCATCCTTTATATCACAATGTTCCCGGATGAGAATTTCTGGCACATGATGATCATACGTAAAGAGAACAATGTTTGAAGTTATAAAAATTATTAAGTATTTAATTTGTTGCTTTATTATAATTCATGAAAATGTATTTCAGCATAACTAAATAGTCAAACATATGATGTTAAGATGTAGCAAAATGAAATTCGTGTACAAACGATGATCAATCGCAAAAATGACAGAAAGTAGAATACCTTTTCCATGTTCAATACCATATAATGAATAAGAATTAGTACATAGCAAATATAATTTTGTCAAACAAATTTTGTATTATTTTATCACATAAACCGCTTACTAAACTTGGGTCCGACATAGGATCAATTCGCTTAAAGGAAAACTCACGGAAATCAATAATTTTACACATGATCAGATATAACTTGAATATTTCATGGTTCTTTCCATATAATTTTTTGTAATTTGAAAAATTAAAAAATAAAGAATTATGGTGCAATTACGGTTTTCATATCACCGTTTTCGTTATGGCCAATAGCCTTAGCATCATAATTGATACTTTTCGTGCGTTGAATGCCGCTAGGTGTACGGTGGAGCCTGCAACGGAAAGAACCTGCATGGGTGGTCGGAGAACATAAGCAGTTGTTTTTCGTCATACTACCTTGTCTTGCTAGCCCACCTGACGACGGTGATGTCACTTGAACTTGTTCCACCTCCACCTTTAACTCCTCGTTTGCCGCCATCAATTGAACGTTAAAATACAAAACCAAGCTAAAATATGATCAGAAAAATATATAAAAAATACATAAGTTATACTAATTGTTGTAATAGTTAGTCCATAAGCAACCGTCCTATTATATTTTTATCATAACAAATCCATGTTCCAAATGATTGTCAAGATGCCTCACAATTTATTGAACACAATAGTGTGACGCATCTACAACAAATTATTTCAAATCAAATATAAATTAGGTTTTATTATTTGAAAACCCATATACGTAGTGTAAGTTGGGAAATGAAAATAAGATCGTTACCTTGAGGAAGATGAGAACTTGGGCAATGGTGAGTCTCCTAAAGTTTTAAACAAAATGGGAGACAAAGAGATTGGAGGAAGATAAGAGAAAACAGGATCCCTATATATCAAATAATGTGCATATGACTATTATATATACACACACGTCATTATATATATATATATATATATATATATATATATATATATATATATATATATATATATATATATATAATAGTTACTTTAAATGGTATACAAGATTGGTCTCAAATGTTTGATTAAAGTAAATTATTTAAGTTATAAATTTAATAAAAGGAGCCACGCGTCCAAATGTTCTAGTCATTCACGAGGAGAAATAATTAAGATATAGAGACATGCCACTTGCATAAATTCGCTTTATATATAATGCTTCAACTGCTCCAAGATAGAGACAATAAATATAAAAATAAAACCGACGTTACTCTTTTTGAGTTTTTTCTATGGGTTAACGTTGTTTAACAAAATATTTGATACGTATATTTTAGGTTTTGTAAATACATTTTAAAATTATGGCTGTTTAATTTTTTAATTTACTGTGTTTTTTATAAGTATACAACATTGACCCGATTAATATTGATTTGTTGTATAGATATCTTTTAGGGTTGTTTGATAGTTGCTGATTGAGTTAGATTGGACTGAATCAGAGGCTTGACTGTGTCTAAAGTTTGATTGAATTTACATTTAACTGAAACTATGTTGTTTGATTATGCATTTGATTGAATGTACTGAATGATGCAAATGACAATTTTACCCCTCTGTTTTATTTGCAACATAAGATACATAAATTCATCTTTTCTACGTAAATACAATCATAATTATCAAATAGTATCATTGATATTTTGATTATTTATTATTAAAATGAATCTATTACAAAACCATGCCAATTAGAAATATAATAAACTCTTGTAAATCTTGATTGAACAATATAATAAATTAATTCACATCATAATAACAACCTATAAAGTTTGTTCATGTAGTTGTAATACAAACAAATATAGAAAGAAAGACAAATCAAGAGGTTCACCCACTCCAAAAATAATAGTAGAAACTTCATCTAGCAACAATTTATAACGATCTCTTAGCACCATGTTTTCTTAAAGCTTACAAGCACCATATAACATTATCCGTCTCAACTACACAACCATAATGTTTCAATCCCGAATACAATCCATAATCACTTTTCATACTCTCAAAGCACTCAAATTATTGATATTCCTCACACCAACATCAGTTAATCCCCTAATATTAAAATGACACCCAAAAAACTATTGTTTCTAACTTCTGTATCAGACAGCTTCAAACAGCTTAAGAATATAATGATTTCAAACATTTGAGTCGCCTCTAATATTAAAATGTCACCCAAAACCTTAAACAAGAAAGTTGGCTCCCATGAAACCAACTAGCTTCACATAAATTAACTTTCAGGAACCTGATAAAAACATGCTTCTAACCGCGAATTTATTGTAATGTTTTCCCTTTCTTATATAACTCTTCAAACCTACAACCATGAATCAAGCGATACATGGACATCATATACATAACAGTATCCTAACAATCAAACAATAAATAACATAATTCTTCAAAATTACAACAAGAAATACCTACCAAAGTACCAAACCAGGGGATTACTGATTCTCGACATTCCATCTCCAAGGGGATTATTAAATCTCGATGTACTATCACTAGAACTGTTAATGTGGCAATTTTAGAAGATTGAGAGAACGGTGGTGGAGGAGGTGGTCGGCACTGGAGAAGGGTTGGAGGCAAGAGGAGCCAATGTCGCACCTACTATTTAATTCCAATGACAATATATGAAATAAAAAAATAAGATAAGAAGAAGAAGAAGAAGAAGAAATTCCACCAATCTAGTAACACCTGTGTTTCATATTGGTTTAGCTTAATATTTTTATCAGGGACCAAAGATGGAGTTTTGGGAAAAACTCTATGCCACGATGTAGTGCTAAAATGCCCATGACGTGGTATGGAATAAATGGAACACCTGTTTTAATGAGTGCCACGACGTGACAACAGGTTGGCCATAGTGTGACAGCCGTTCTTGCCCAAGCTCGTGAATTTAGGGTTTCCTCCCACATTTAAGCAACATTTCTAGAGGATTAGGGCATCCTTGTCAGCCTACAACACTCTTCCTCAAAACCCTAGCCTCTCTTAGAGAACTTTGGTTCATTTTGGTATACTTGGTGCCTAGAAGAAGAAGAAGAAGAAGAAGAAGAAGAATAAGAAAAAGGTGTTTTGGTGCATTAATCTTACAAGCAACTTCACCAAAACCATCTTGAGCATATTATGGACCCTTGTAAGTATTCAAGTCTCAAACTTTCTAGTTTGTGTTTCTAGATCTAGGGTTCTTGTCCCTCTTCTTCTTATTGTGAGAGTTTGAAGTAATGGATTCTATAAAGTTGGAAACTTTATGGATCCATAAGGTCCATTTGAAGTTATAACTTCCAGATGTAGTGTTCCATGGTGTATTTGGTCTCATGTGCAAGTTTGCGCACTTTTCTTCCTTGGGTTTGACCTATTTTGGAGGAGACATGCATCAGACATGCATGTACATAAAGCACATATTTTTATGGTGTATTTTTAGGTATGAAAGTATTTTGGAAATTTTGGTTGGGTGACTCGGTTGATTTAGATCTTAATGGGTTAACTCATGTCTTAAGTTGTCATTAAGGACTTAGGGTTAAAACTTTTGGCCTTTTGGGATGACTTAAGCGGTAAAATTGGAAACTTTATCCATTAAGACCATAGGGTGTATCGGATCTGAGCTTTGGAGCTCTTAAGGACAAAGAAAATTGCTTAATCAATTAAGTTGTTTAGACCTAGTTACCACATTGTGGCACTGTGGCCGCCATGTCGTGGTGACTAGGAGGCCGCTCGAATGTTTTGTCTTTACGCCACCACGATGTGGCGATTCGCTGAGGTGATTTTTGGGCTGTTGACTTTGAGGGTTGACCTTGGACCGTTGACTTGTTGAACTAGGTAAACTTTAGGTCAAGATTGTAGGATCTTGTGTGTATACTAAGGTTATACCTTGTACGTTTTGATAGGAGGGTTGTAGCATCTGTTGCGGAGCATCGAGCTGTGGTTTAGCTGATCTCGGGAGTCAGGTGAGTCTTCTCACTATACTATGTAGGATGCTAGTTGTCTTTGTGATACTTGAATGGAAGACCTGGGGGGGCAGCCCGTGTGACATCCCCTAATTTCTCGGCCAGAAAAAACCGATTTAATTTATGCTTTTCAAAATAAAAATCAGAGTAATCCTTTTTAAAAGATGATGCGGAATTTGTTCCCAAAACAAAACATGATAAAAATTTATCATGTCCTTTCTTTAAGAAATATATATTTTCATTTTATAACAAAACCTCGGGATGTCATGTTCCGATACAGATCAAAAGCATAAACAAGACATTATAAGCCTTACAACAGTTATTTACAACTACTGGCCTATCATCCAAAAATCACTCATCATCATCATCCGACTATGCTCGGGGTCCACTACCTATAATATAAAAAGCTGAGTGGGACAGGCTTGGAAGCCTGGTGAGCATATAGGGTTTTCAACCCACAATAAATAAATTTATTATGCTTAAACATCAACAATCAACAAAATTACCCCAACCCCATTATCTTATTTGTTTCTTAAGGATTTACCCTAAGAGTCAACTACCACTCATTCCTAAGGTTTCATCCTAAGGAATAGGCACGAAGACACATCGTCGCCAGGGTTTATACAACAGGCACTAAATCCATAGCTGCCAGGGTTTATACAACAGGCACTAAGTCCATAGCTGCCAGGGTTTATACAACATGTGCTAAGTCCATAACTCTTATTTATCGATAGTATTATTCACAGGAATCTCCCTGCCACATGTAACGATGTAATTTTTAAAACAAATTTTTCATTTTTCCACATAATAAAACTCATAAAGTAAGTTATCTCTTATTAACATAAAGTAAACTCTCGTGCTCGATACCCCCGATCTAGCCTCCGCCTAATCACATAAAGTAATTTATCTCTTATTAACATGATTCTCATAGACTAGGCTAATCCTTTCCTATAATTTCCCAGAAGGGAAAAGGACCATTTTACCCCCCCCCCCCCCAATGGTCCAATGTCCAAATGTTGACCAAACCCTAAAAGTCAACCTCAGTCAACGGTCCAATTTTGACCAGACTCGTCGAGTGCACTCGGGTAACTCGGAGAGTCCACGTGTGTCCTCTGAATCCTCCTAAGGCCTCACTCGACTCGTCGAGTTAACCCTTCTCTGAACGGGATACCACTGATCACGAATCGTGGTGCAACACGATCCGACTCATCGAGTCCGCTCATGGACTCGACGAGTTTCTTCCATGGCAATACTCATTTGACCTTCTGTGGTCAGATCTGTTTCTCTAACTTATAGATCTGGCCTTCTAACACCCAATAATCACGTAAAGGTTCGAACTTGGTGTCCATGCATGGCATTTTGGGCATGAAATGCCAAGAACATGATTTAAATGGGGTTTTTACTCATAAATACCATTAAGGCTGAATAAAGCAGGAACCTTTGGGTGCTAGAGACCTCTTAAGGTCCAGATCTGGAGTTCAAGCCTCCTCATGAACCCCAAATCCTCAAAGACCCAAAATGAAAGGAAAAGAAGCCCTAATCTTCAAGATGAGAGATCTACTCAAATAAAAGGGAAAGGTTCGAACTTGATACCTCCAATAGAAGCTCTTGGACGAATAAGCAGTAGATCTATCAGCCTCTTCTCAATCCTAGCTTGGAATCTTCCTTTCCTTCACTAAAATGCACTCACAAATCTCAAGTAAGGCTCAAGACTCTCTCACAAGCTCAAGGGGCGATTAGGGTTTCTTCTCAGTGAGGTGTGGCCGCAAATGAGGCTATAAGTGCCTTTAAATAGGTTCCAAACCCGGGGATCTAGGGTTTCCACTTACAGCGCCTACTCGGCGAGTCTACTCTTGGACTCGTCGAGTAGTTCATTAAACTCACGTGGCCACCCCACTTCTACTCGACGAGTTATACCACCAACTCGTCGAGTAGATCAATGATCCTCAAAAATAAATAATTAAAAATAACATACCTGAAAATCCGGATGTTACAATTCTCCCCCACTAGAATCAGACTTCGCCCTCGAAGTCTTACTCTGCAAACAACTCTGGATGCTGCTCCCGCATCTTTGACTCCGACTCCCAAGTCAGCTCGGACCCTCTCCGATGTTGCCACTGGACCTGAACCAGGGGCACCTCCTTGTTCCTCAACACCTTGATCTTCTGATCCAAGATCGCGATCGGCCTCTCAATGTAGTTCAAACTCGCATCCACCTGAATATACTCTAGCGGCACAACCGCCGTTTCATCGGCTATACACTTCCTCAACTGGGATACATGGAAGGTATCATGGATCTGACTCAACTCCTCGGATAGCTCCAGACGGTATGCTACCTTACCCACCCTCGCGGTCACCCTGAACGGACCAATGTATCGGGGCCCCAGCTTGCCCCTCTTCCTGAATCGGATCACTCCTTTCCAAGGAGATACCTTCAGGAGTATGAAATCTCCAAACCTGGAACTCGAGCTCGGATCGCCGTCTATCTGCATAACTTTTCTGACGACTCTGGGCTGTCAGTAACCTCTGTCTTACCTACTGTATCTGCTCAGTCGTCTTAAGCACTATCTCAGTGCTACCCATCACTCGCTGCCCTACCTCTCCCCAACAGATGGGAGTTTGAAACCTCCTCCCATAAAGAAGCTGAAAGGGAGGCATACCAATACTCGAATGGTGGCTGTTGTTGTAAGAAAACTCAGCCAAAGGTAGGTATGTGTCCCAACTTCCTCCGAAGTCCATAACACATGCTCGAAGCATGTCCTCGAGTGTCTGTATCGTCCGCTCACTCTACCCGTCCGTCTGTGGGTGATAAGCAGTACTGAAGTGCAATCTCGTACCCAACTCCTCATGAAACTTCTTCCAGAACCTGGAAGTAAAACGTACATCTCGGTCTGACACAATCGAGATCGGCACTCCATGCCGCGACACCACCTCTCTCACATATATTTTTGCCAGCCTCTCCGCAGAAGAGCTCTCACTGATAGCAAGGAAGTGAGCGCTCTTCGTCAGCCGGTCCACAATCACCCAGATTGCATCAACACCCCTCGCGGTCCTCGGCAATTT